CTTTAAAATCTCAGTTCACACCCATTCAGCAGAGATTTCTTTGTCTCCAACAATTCTATTTGCACGTCTATCCCAAGGCTGCAGGAGCTGGCCATTACTTTTTTTCCCTACTGCTCTTCTCTGCCACTTTAGTGCCAGGTACTGGAAGTCAGGCCAGGCCTATACTAGACCAGGAAGGTAGGCTTAAGGTACATAACTCCAGCGTTGTAAATAATAATACCTTAAGCCAAGCAGTGGGAGATTTATGGCAGCAAACATTCTCATCGACTTCCCTTACTCCTTGTAACTGTAAGGAGTACTGGCGTGCCCTCAGCATTTGATTTAGTGGGACTTTACTAGACCCACTAAATGGAATTCTAGAAGATTGATCTCCGGCACATAATTATAGAGAGAGAATAGAGAGATTGTCCTCCTGTGCTCTCAGAGCTTCTCTGTTGTTCCCAGGCAGTGTAGAGGAGGAAGAGAAAGTGGGCACAGGCTGCTTGGGGATAACAGTGGAGACGGGCTGTCGAAGGATGGAGTGGGGTAGGCTGCAGTCAATATGGTTCCACATTATAGAATTTCTATTTTTTTCCAGTTTTTTTTTTAACCCAAGGAATTACATCTTCCAAAAGATACTTTAAAAGAATATTAAAGTTGCAACATCCAATGTTCAAAAGTCAGGCAAAGCCAAAATTAAAGTGGCCCATGCAACCGTAATTCAGCCCACTTGTATACGTGCACTATGATATAATCTTGAATTACATGATCACATGCTATTTTTCCCCACATGACCCCTGCCTCATTCAGTGCTCTGTGCGTGCTTTAGGACTGTGTAGTGAAGAAGGTTGCTATAGCTAGAACCTCTGCCTCATTTGTTGCAGAAGTAGGAAGATGTGCCGTGAATAAGGTACGGGATTGCAGAAAAAGAGAGGATGATATGGCTGCCCCTGACCACGCCCCTTCCACCCATGGCCCTGCCCCTTCCAGGAGCACAAAGCTACCCTCCCCCACACGTTGCCCAGGAGCCTGTGTAAGCTGTCAGCTCCCCTGGGTGTCAGCTAGCTGGCTAAGCTGCTTAGGCAGCCTCTTTGCCCTGTGGTACAAATGCATGGTAGCATCAAGCACAGTCTGAACATGGAGCTTCAAGGCATTTAAGAAACTGAAGCATTCCCAGTGTTCTCAAAAGACCTCTGTATGTTATGTGTAGGATACAGTATTTGAGAGTCAGTGAAATTCTGGTGTCTCCTTAAGGTATTTAGCAGTTGCATACCACTCAGTTGCAGTGTCTTCCCCAGTCTGGTGTATAACAGGAAAGGTGGCTGTTTACAGATTCATAGATTTCTTGTAGGGACTGTATGTGTGGTGTATTTATTGCAGGCAGGCCATCTGCCTCTGGAACACTCATGCTGTGTCTTCACAGAACACTGTGGTGTCTTCTCCCCAAGGTGGGCTGCTGCCCACCCCTCCTCTTCTCTCTGCACTGGCTCCTGATAGAGCACCCACGTGGCAAGCCTTAGTCCTTATCGTCAAGGTCTGGATCCAGGATAGCTAAGAGATTGATTGAAGCTCCAGGATGAAGATCATTGTGGACAGCTCTGCTTCTCAGGCACAATAAACTTCTTGCCACACAAATCACAGAATCATAGCACTAGAAGGGGCCACAAGAGGCAGGGCCGTCCGTAGGGCAACCTCTCCACAGGCCCCTCCCCGCCTCTGCTCCTGCCCCATGTCAGGCCTGTCCATAGTATGGTTGGGACAGCCGCTGTGGGCCCCCCCCAAAGTGTAGGCCCTCAGGCGACTGCCCTGGACTGTCCTATGGATGGGATAGGTCTTGCAAGAGGCCGTCTAGTCCAGGCCCCTGCATTCATGCAGGATAAGTATTATCGAGACAAGAGTGTCTCAGACTTCATTGCACTGCAACCACCTTCTGACAACAAAACTTACTGCATGACCCAAGGAAGGGGGGCTACAGTCCCACTGTCCTGGGCAAGAGAGCTTGAGCCCCACCACCCTGAGGGGGACGGGGCAAAGCATGAGGGCTTCAGCCCTGGGCGGTGGGGATTGGACTTTGGCTTCAGCCCAGGGCCCTAGCAAGTTTAGTGCCAGCCCTGGTGACCCCATTAAAATGGGGCCACAACCCACTTTGGGGTTCCAACTCTCAGTCTGAGAACTGCTGATCTAGACCATTGTTCTCTGTGAGCTGAGAGCTTGGGCGGTCACCCAAGAGAGATTCAAATGCCACCCAGCTGATTAGCAGAGCGCCCACAGTCGCCAGCATGTGTTTCTACCAGTAGTGCACATCCACATAGGCCTTGGTGAACATAAAATTTATTCTGCACATGGATGGAGAAAATAGAGGGAACACTGTTCTAGACCATACCTAACAGGTGTTTATCTGACCTGAGCTTAAAAATCTGCAATGATAGAACTTTTGCAACCCCCCTAAGCAATTTATTCCAGTGTTTAACCACCTTGACAGGAAGTTTTTCATAATGTCCAACCTTAAATCACCCATGCTACAATTAAAACAATTTTTCTCCCTCCTTCTTGTAACAACCTTATATGTACTTGAAAATTGTTATCATGTCCCCTCTCAATCTTCTCTTCTCCTGACTAAAACCCAATATTTACAGTCTTCCCTCAAAGGTTTTCTAGACCTTTAATCATTTTTGCTCTTCTCTGTACTTTCTCCAATTTGTCCACCTTTTTCCTGAAATGTAGTACCCAGAACTGGACACAATACTCCAGCCGAGACCCATCAGAGGAGAGTAAAGCAGAAGATTTACTTCTGCTGCTTGATTTCAACACTCCTGCTAATAATGTTTGCGTTTTCTTGAAACCCTGTTCACTCCTAGTTAGTTTGTGATCCACTATAACCCCCAGATCCCTTTCTGCAGTGATTCTTCCTAGACAATCGTTTCCCATTATGTTTGTGTTGAACTGATAGTTCCTCTCTAGGTGGAGTACTTTGCATTTGTCCTTGTCGAATTGCATCCTATTTACTTCAAGTGACTTCTGCAATTTGTCCAGACCATTTTGAATGTTAATCTTACACTTGCAACCCCTCCCACCTTAGTAGCTTTCAGAAACTTTATAAGTGTACACTCTATGCCATTAGCTAAATCATTGATGAAGATATTGAACAGAACCAAGCCCAGTACTGATACCTGCAGTATCCCACTCAGTATGCCCTTTCAATTTCACTGTGAATCACTGATAACTAGTCTCTGAAAACAGTTTTCCAACCAGTTATGCACCTACCTTATAGCAGTTCCATTTAAGCTGTATTTCCCTAGTCTGTGTATGAGAAGGTCACATGCAACAGTATAAAAAGCCTTACTGAAGTTAAGATATACTATGTATTCCATTTCCACCCATCTATAAGGCTTGCTACCCTGTCAAAAATCTAGCAGGTTGGTTTGACACAATTTGTTATTTATATGTCCATGCTATTACTTACCACCTTACTATCGTCTAGGAGTGTGCAAATTGATTGCTTAACTATTTGCCTTACAGTATTATCTTTCCAGGTACTGAAGTTAAACTGACTGGTCTGTAATACACCAGGTTGTGCTTTCTTCTTTTTTATAGATTGGCCTATATTAGCCCTCTTCCATTCCACTGGAATCGCTCCCATCTTCCATGACTTTTAGAAAATAATCACTAATGGCTGAACTATATCCTCAGTCAGCTCCTTGAACATTCTAGGATGCATGTCATCAGGCCCTAAAAGCGTGACAAATTTCTAACGTGTCTAGGTAATTTTAAACTTGTTCCTTCTATATTTTAGCTTCTAATCCTACCTCATTTTCACTGCCATTCACTATGTTTGATGTCAATTGCTTCTAACTTTTTTTGTGAAAACTGAGTCAAAAAAGTCGTCGAGCACTTTTGCCCATTTTCACATTTTCTGTTATTTTTCCCCCGCCCGCGCTAAGTCAGGGTAAAGCTCATCTGTGCTGTGCCTAGACTGTGGAACTAACTCCCACAGGGACTATGGACCATCCAGACCTCACTACCATCCACTCTGAATGCCAGATGCATTTTTTCAATCTTGCCTTCTCTAATATAAACACAGAGCAGTGTGTACAATAAAAAAAAGAGTTCAAAACCCCCAAATGAAACACTCACAGCATGCACAGAATTGTCCCCTTGGGGAGAGGATGTGAGAGAGAGCAAACCAGATGTAAAAGATGTTAGACATGTTGCTTAATGCACTATGTGAATGCACTCATGGGAAGGAGGGCGGGATAAGAACCTATAGAAAACAGAATAATTTCTCTCTCTTCAGTTGTGTATGCATCTGTTTCACTCAGCTAAATGTTGGCTACTTCTGCTTCAATTAATCTGTAATTAATCTTTGTTAACTGATCATATGTAGAAGGTATAATGGACTAGGGAGACGGGGAATGGTGGAACATACTGATCACTTTCCAGTGAATGTTTCCAGCAATATTCTCTTGCTGCTCTACTGGAAGAGAAAATTAGACATCTGTCCAAGCAGAAGACAATCTTAGAGAGTTGGATATAAAAATAATTAGAAGCTCCTTTCTTTGCACCGTGGAGTTATTTCAGCATTTATTTATTTCATACTATTGTTAAGCTCGTTTATAATAGATATATTTATATATAAAGTAGAATAGAGAAAAGCAAAAGATATACTTCATAAATATTTCTGTATGTTCTGCATACAAAATAAAATATGTACATCCACAGATAGTGGTTCTGTGCTGTTGTCATGGCAGGACCATACATATCATTCACATACTCCAACAAGGTCTGCTTAGAATAGCTGACATCTCGCCTTGTCTGGAATTTCTAAAGATGTAAACACACCTCCCACACTGCTGATGTCTCGGCAATTTCTTGGCTTTGATTTTATAGCTTTATGGAGGAAGGAGGGGTGGTGCCATGTTTTTGTTAGGGCTAGATGGGACAAGGCATCGGAGCAACAGTGAACTAGGGAGTAACATCCAATGGTCAAGAGAGAGAGGGAAAAGGGATACATATGAGCTGACTTTTCCATTTCTATTTTACTTTGACTTCACTGTGCATTACATTACATCCCATCACCGCTCTCTGGGCACTCAGCCACATTGACACTGGGGTCCAATTCGTTTTTGTGAGTACTTGAATTTGACACCCTCGCAGCCTACACTAAATAGGGGCAGGACTACTGGTCCTCAAATAGAGCAGTAACTTAAGTCTCAGCCCTAGACAAAAGAAAAGGGTTAAATTGATTTGCATACGTTTTCATTTCAGAGCTAGAACCAGGAATGTTTCTGGCTTTTTCATGCTGAGTGGATTCTCCCGTTCTAAAAGTTTAGTCTTTGGAAACAAAGACAATGATTGCTTTGAAGTTGTAGTGCATCTGTAGCCAGGGATTGTCCTGGAGGCTACTGGAGAATCAAGGCCCGTTGTGGTAGGATACATAAGCAGAGGCAGATCCAAAACCGTTTTTCCTCCCCCAGAAAATTTCTCTTTGTTTCTCATGGTGCTAAAGGCACTTGATCGCTGGCTGTCATTGGCAACCAGAAGGCATGGTTTTGCAAGAAGGTACACTCCAAACAGAGTTTTGGTTTAAGCCTCTTGTCTTCTCAGGAAGAATTGGATTGGTGGGAAAATCTTCCACTTTTCAGATTTAAAAAAAAATAATGTTATTTTTACTGCTGGAATTATCTCCCAGTCCATGTCTTTGCAAGATAAACAATGTCTAGTCCAAAAGAGGTCACTTCCTCTAGGAATAGTGCTTGGGTGCCCTGGGCGTCTAAGCTCTTTGACCGACTGTGAGAGGCTTCATTTGCAGACGTATCTTTCAACAGTCCTCTCACATTTTTTACAGGTTACGTAGCAGCACCAGTGGTATTTGCAGTGGCACCGCTCTACTACCTTGTCCATGTACGGATTGTAGCCGCGACCACAGCACATCAGGTCACAGCTGTCACTGCCATTGGAGGTCTTGTTGCACTGCCTGGAATAAAGGCGATAAGGGGAGTTAGTGCAAATCATCACAGAGCCTATTTAGAAACGAAATAATCATCTATTTCTGCAATTGTGCTTTGGGCTGTGCAGGTGCCCCAGGCATGGCGAAGGGGCCATGGGACTGATCTTTAGTAGGGCTAATTGGATGCTTAAACCACGTGGGGATCTGCCCAAGGAGCATGCCACAGGCTGCACCACCAAAGCAGCCAGATAAAAGTCCCAGTCCCTATGTTCTGGGGCCTGATTCAAAGCCCACTGAAGTCAACGGGGTGTTTAGAATCCCCTGCTATGCAAGTGTAACCCATATGCCGGCTGGGTGTGACTCACTGTCCCGTGTAGTGGCACTTAGACCACTTACAGAGAGAGAGAATGAGGGCGCTCTACAGCCTTCGTTCGCTGTGAGCCAGCTGGCTTTCTAGCTCAAGATGTAGAGGCTCATGCTTCTTGAGAACTTAGGGTACGTCTACACTTGCTCCCTAGTTCGGACTAGGGATGCAAATGTAGTATACAGAAATAGCTAATGAAGCGGGGATTTAAATACCCCACGCTTCATTAGCAAGATCTTTCCTGGCACGCTAGTTCAAATCACAGCTGATTCGAACCAGGAAGTGCATGCTGGGACACATTAATTCTAACCAAAGCCCTTGGTTTGAACTAACATTACTCCTCATTTTTTGTGGAGTAACGTTAGTTTGAACCAATGGCTTTGGTTTGAGCCAATGCATCCCGGAGTGCACTTCCTGGTTCGAATCAGCTGTGATTTGAACTAGCGTGCCAGGAAAGATCTTGCTAATGAAGCGTGGGGTATTTAAATCCCCGCTTCATTAGCTATTTCTGTATACTACATTTGCATCCCTAGTCCGAACTAGGGAGCAAGTGTAGACATACCCTTAGAGCGTAAGCTCTTCAGAGTAGAGGCTCTTACACTGTGTGAATAGAACACCCAGCACAACCAGACCCTAGACTTAGCTTGGGGCCTCTCGACGCCAGTAATGAGTGAGAAGCATTTCTTTAGGAAATAGCTCAGACATCTTTTCTAAATCACATTTTGCTTAGGTTATTTTGGCCAGAAGTATTTTTACATCAAATTGGGGGAGGACAGTGGGAGACAGAGGAGAGAGGAGAATGTAGCGTGAGGAGGGAGAATTGGACTCCTGTGCTGAGCACTCCATTAACAGTTGGAAATGAATCCAAGAGATTTATAGGAATTCCTCATGAGGTAATGCTTTATGAGAAGTTATAGGATTAATGAAGTGCTGAGAATTTTTTTCTTGTTCACCCCTTATTTATTTCTGACGCGGTACGACCTCCTGTTTGTTATTTCTGACCTCCATTCATGGCTGGGTTCCATTTTTAAAGGTTCCCCACGCACTCCCCCGCTTTGGAAGTGCATGTACATATTTACAAACCTTTGAAAGGTTCACCAAAGCCTGCTCATAATTGTTATGACCAACAGTCGAAAGCTCAGACCATAACCACGCTGCAAGTGCGTTTACCTAGCATTGAATGAACCGCATTGTCGTAGACCCACCGTGACCCTGCCCCCCTCCAACAGGAAACCTCAGAATAACTCCCCATAAACACATTAGTCAATAAGTTAAATATTTAGAGCAAAGGTTCAAATACATAAATATTAATATTATGGAGGGGCTTTAAAGGCTTAGTCAGCTTTGACAGAGGTTGGAAAGGTTGAAGCAACTAGATTTGTTTTGCAAGGATCATGAGTTCATAACAGGCTATAAAATTCACATGTTTGGGTATGTGATGCATCCATGCCACCTTGTATACTTTACTGCGAGCTAACAGAATTGGGTGGGGCTAGTACTCAGATGGGGGCTCTCCAAGACACACACAGCTCCTTCAGGAAGAGGAATGGATAAGT